GTAGTGATTTTACAGCATCTTACTACGCAGATGGACAGCGACTGTGAAGGGGTATGTGGCGGTGGACTTGGTGAAGGGGGGAGCCTAGTAAACATAACGTTCCTCAGGTAATTGTAGATTAATGATACCAAAATAAAAAATAAAAATAAATTTAAAAAAAGAGCTCACTGAGCAGTGGAATTCTACTTTCAGGGAGCAGAGTAGCAACATGTGATTAAGACAAGAGCTAAAGCCTGTAGAACATGGTACACAAAGCAGCATGACACAGTTAACCACATCTTGGGAGCTATAACAGGATACAGATTTCAAATACTTTCCAGTAAACATCAGTAAGGTAACCTCATCTCTAATACGTGTCTAATTGAGATTTAAATGTATTAGGCTGCCAATAATTTGATCTTCAATAACCAAACTCATCATACACTCTTCTCTCCTATCTCTACTCTAAAGAATAAAATAATGGGCCCTCATCATTCTTGATAAGTGAGACTGTAATTACTACCTAAACTACTCTTGGATTCCAATGTTGTATTTCAAATGAACTATCTGAAACACTCTTTACCTGTACGGTAGACAGGATTTTGCACTGCTAGTTCAAAATCTACATCTTTGGATTTGAGAAGCATGTTAATTCCCTCTTCTTCAGTAACAAAGGTCATTCAGATACCCATAGCAAAGACAGTGAATATTGGTCCATACTGAAAGAAAACACATAAATATAGATTAGCAAGCATTTCTGATAAGTTACTGGGCCATGGGTTATGCCAGAACACTAATACTGAAATTACAGTCAAGATACAAATTATTATGGTTATATATCTTAATTACAAATGTTGACTGATACTGCCAAATCTAAATTATAGAAATCCTTATTTATTCTGTCCTAAATACTTCCTTAAGTACCATGTTATTATTACTGTGCTGGCACTTTCCTTTCTTGTAGCATGAAATAATAATTAGAGATAATTATAATTTATATCAAACTTATATCAAAAGATCCACATAGGTTGTTTTATATATCAAGAGTTCATTGTTTGTATTTCTGAGAAGTATTCTTTGGTGTGGGTGTGCTACAGTTGGTTTAAACATTACTAAAGGATGTTGGTGTTCTTTTTAGTTTGGTCTATTGCAAATGAAATTGCTATGAATGTTCATGTGCAGGTTTTTATGTGAACACAAGTTTTTGTTTCTCTAGGATAAATGCCCAGAAAGGCAATTCATGAGTCATATGGTAGCTGGTTGTTTCATTGTTTAAGAAGCTGCCAAACTATTTTCCAGAGTGGTGGTACCATTTTAATTTCTACTACCAATATATGAGTGATCTAGTTCTCTGTATCCTCATTGCCATTTGGATGTTATACCTATTTTTTATTTAGCTATTCTGATAGATGTGTAGTGATATCTCATTGTGGTTTTGATTTGCATATCCCTAAATGGCTAATGATGTTGAATCTTTTTTCATGTGTTTGGCTTATTGGTATCCAAGTGCTTCATTGCCATTTCTTAAAAAGGTTGTCCTTACTCCACTGAATTGCTTTTGTACCTTTGTCTAATAGCAGTTGAGCATTTGTGTGGGTCTATTTCTGAGTTCTCTATTCTGTTTCATGGGCCCTTGTATTTGTCCCTCCACCAGTTCTACACAGATTTCATAACTGTAGCTGTATAATTAACCTAGAAATTGAGTGATTCCTCCCATTTTATTATTTGTTTTCAAAATTGTTTTAGCTATTCTTGCGCCTTTGCCTCTCCATAAATATTTTTGACTAATCTTGGCTATATCTAAAGAAAACCATGCTTAGAATTTGATAGGACTTAGATTAAAACTATACACCAATTTAGGGAGAATTTACATCTTTACAGTCCATGAACATCCCCACAGTGTATCTTTTCATTAAGACCTTTGATTTCTTTCATCAATGTTTTACAGTTTTCTGTATATAACCCTATACATATTTTATTACATTTTTACCTAAATATTTCTTTCCCTTTGAGTGATTGTAAATGGTTATATTTTTAATTACATCTCCACATGTTCATTGCTAGTATGTAGCAATATAATTGATTTTTCTCTGTTGGCTTTGTACCTTCTGACATTGCTGAACTCATTTATTAGTTCCAGAAGATTTTTTGTAGACTCCTTGAGATTTTCTTGGTAGACAACTGTCATCTGCAAATACATATAGTTTTATTTCTTCCTTTCCAAATGTCTTTTTTCTTGCTTTATTGCACTCATCAGAACTTCCAGCACTGTGCGAAATAAGAGTGGTGACAGTAGACATCCTTGCTTGTTACACCTAGATGAGGCATTTATTTTTTCACCATTAAGATGGCTGTTAGCTGTAGGATTTTTGTAGATATTCTTTATCAAATTGAAGAAGCTCCCCTCTAGTACTACTACTTTCCTGAGAGTATTTTAAAACCATGAATGGGTGTTGAATTTTGTCAAATGCTTTTCCTATATCAATTAACATGATTATGTGCCTTCTTTTCTTTAGCCTGTTAATATGGTGGCTCACACTAACTGATTTTCAAATATCACACCAGTCTGGAATTCCTGGAATAGACCCCACTTGATAAAGGGGATATAATTATTTTCATATACTGTTAAGCTTTGAACAACATAGGGGTTGGGGTGCTGGCCCCATTGCAGTAAAAAATCCTTGTGTAACTTCTAACTCCTCCCAAACTTAACTACTAATAGCTACCATTGCCTGGAAGCCTTACTGATAACATAGTTGATTAACACATATTCTGTATGTTTTCTATATTACATATTGTATTCATAAATAAACTGAGAAAAGAAAATGTTATTAAGAAAATTGTTTTCTTAAGAGAAAATACATTTACAGTATTATACAGTATTTATTTTAAAAATCTGTGTATAAGTGGATCCATGCAGTTCAAATCTGTGTTATTCAAGGGTAAACTGTATTTCTGGGTTTTATTTGCTGATATTTTGTTAAAGATTTCTGCATCAGTATTCATAGGGGATATTGGTCTGTAGTTTCCTTCTTTGCACTATTTTTATCTGGTTTGGTATCAGGGTAATCCTAGCTTCACAAAATGCCATAGGAAGTTCTCTATTCTACTTTCTGGAAGAGATTGCATAAAATTTATGTTAATTCCTCTTTAAACATTTGTCATAATTCTCCAGCAAAACCATCTGGGCTTAAAGATTTGGTGGAGAAGCTTTAAAGTTAGATATTCAATTTCTTAAATAGTACAGGGCTATTCAAATTATCTCTTTCATACTGAAGAGCTATAGTTGTTTGTGTTTTTGGTGGAACTGTTCTTTTTCATCTAAGTTGTCAAATTTATTATGTGTAGGATTGCTCATGGTGTTCTCATATCATCTTTTTGATGTTTGCAGGGCCTGCAGTGATATGCCCTGTTTTATTCCTGACATTGGTAATCTGTGACTTCTCTCTGGTTTTCTTTTTTCAGTCTTATATGAGGTCTTTCAAAGCTAGTGATCTCTTCAAAGAACTGGCTCTTTCTTTGGTTTTATCCATTGTTTTTGTTTTCAGTTTCACTGATTTCTGTTCTTTAATAATTCCTTCCTTATACTTGCTTTGGGTTTATTTTGCCCTATTGTGAGGAGGGGGTTGAAGGAGAAGCTTTGATTATTGATTTCAGACTTAATCCTCTTTCATAATGTAAATATTTAGTGGTATAAACTTTCCATCAGCATTGCTTTATTTTCATATATATATATATATATACTTTAAAAAAATCTCCCTTGAGACTTTCCCTTTGATTCGACTATGCAGAGGTATGTTGTTTAGTTCCCAAGTGTTTAGAGAGTCTCCCATTATCTTTCTGTTATTTATTCCTAGTTGTTTTCCATTATAGTCAGAGAACATACTGTATGATTCAATTTTTTTGAATTTTGTGAGGTTTATGGCCCTGTATATGATCTACCTAGATATATATTTCATGGGCACTTGAAAAGAATGAACACCCACCTCGGTTAGGTAGAATGTTCTGTAAGTATTCATTAGGTTCTTTTGGTTGGGGGTCATTTATAGTCTAGCTGACTGTCTAGCTGTTCCACCACCTGGGGAGAAAGGGTTGTTAAAGTGTCCAACTATACATGGGGATTTGTCTCTTCTTTCAGTTCCACCAGGTTTTGTGTCATGTAATTCACAGCTCTGCTATTTGGTGCATACACATTTAGGACTGCTAATTCTTCTTGGTACACTGACCCTTTTATCACTATATGACATTTCTCTCTGTCTCTGGTAATTTTCTTTGCTCTGAAACTATTTTAGCTGATATTGATATAGACACTCCTACTTTCTTTTGACTATTGCTCACCTAATGTATCTTCTTCCACATTTTTGTTTTCAAACTGTCTATTTCATTTATTTGAAGTGAGTTTCTATTAGATATCACATAGTTGGGTCATTCTTTAAACTCCATTTTGCAAATATCTGTCTTCTATAATTGTATTTGTACCATTTATAACTTAATGCAACTACTGATATATTAGTGTTTACGTCTGCTATTTTATTTTTTTAATTTATTTATTTTTCTATTTCACTGATGCCCTATCCCTCCTCTGGCAACCACAAGTTTGTCCTCTGTGTTTATGTGTCTACTTCAGTTTTGTTTGCTCATTTATTTTGTTTTTTAGAAACCACATATAAGTGAAATCACACAGTATTTGTCTTTCTCTGTTGGATTTAATTTCACTTAGCATAATACCCTCTAGGTTCGTCTGTGTTATCACAAATAGCAAGGTTTCATTCCTTTTATGGCTTAGTACTTTCCATTGCATCCTTATCAGATAATTCCTATAACTGTGTCATCTGTTGATTGTCTTTTTTTATTCAAATTGAGCTCCTCCTGGTTCTTAGTATAAGAAGTAATTTTTTCTGTTGAAATATGTACATTTGGGGTTTTATGTATGACACTTTGAATTTTATTTAAATCTTATGTTTTTCCAGGCTTCCTTTAACATTATTACAGTGTGGTAAGGGGATGCCACCTCATTATTGCCAAGTAGGGGCTAGCAATTTAGGTTCTTCTTTCAGTCTCCATTTACACATGGGCAGAAAAGGACTCCTTGTTACTGCTGGTTGGGGTGAAAGTTAATTTTCACTCTAACTAGTAGAGGAGGGGTTCCTCATCACTGCTTCGCATGACCTCCACTGGCCTGTGGATGAGGAGGTGTTCAGGGGTAGCCTCTTTATTGCTAAATAGTGATTGAAATCCTCACTCTCTAGGGCTCATGGATCACCATCCCAGTGAATAGAAGGGGACCCCTCATTATTGCTGGGTGGTGGTGAGGTCCAAGCTCCTGAGGTGGTCTCCATTAACACTGTAGTGGGGATGACCTTACTGCTGAGCAGGATTGAAAGGGGTAACTCTTCTTGAGTTTTCCTCTGACACTACCCCTTCTAGGAAGGGGAGGGTTACTTCATTACAGCCTGGCCAGGCTTTATGGCTACTTTTTCACTTGATATTTGCTAAGTGAGGTCAGGTCATAATTTTTTTCTGTAGTGTTTGGCTAGAATAGAACGATTATTATCTAAAAGTTTTCTGTCTTGCTAGGCTGTTCTTTTCCTGGCCCTTTAGCTAGAAAGAGTAGGTTTTTCTTGGTGTTTATGTTTTGTCCTGTGCCCACTGACATCTTCAGGTTGTTGGATTTTCTAGAAAAAAATCTACATATATGAAGCAGAAAGAAAACCCAGGGAACTTGCTGCCATATTATTCCTCAGATTCTATCTATCTGTCCAATATTCTATCTATAATGTGCAAATACTATTTAGCTGTTTTTCGTGGGAGGAATAGGGAAAAGTACAACTACATTATCTTTTCAGAACATCCCTAACTCATTGTTTAAATTCATAGAACATCTCTGAAAGTTACACAAGAGAATGGAAACATTCTTGGTTGGGAAGGAAACTACACAGCTGGAGGACAGAGATAAGAGGAATATTTTTCACTGCACATATGTCTATATCTTTAGAATATATGAATCTATCTGAAAAAAAAAACGTTTCTAAAGAAGGTACACGTCCAATATTGGTAGAGACATTGTGCAACTTCTTCCTGAATTGTCCCATTTTTTTCCTGGAAACTACACAGAGCCACAGAAGAATGAAGCAAATGCATGCATAAGCAACATATTGAGCTAAACAAGAAGGAGAAAATCTACTAAAGTATGGTCACAGCATCTGAAACCAGCAGAACTTGCACTAGAAGCTATAGCAGTATGGTGGGAAAGAATTAGGAGTGTGCAGGAGGCTCAACAATGGAAAAGCCCAGAAATGTACACTCTGAGCTAGGAGAAGGCAATACACAGAGCTGGAACCACTGTGACATAGGCTAAGATAAACAGGCCATGGATATTGAGAGAGACAGCAAAATATGACACAGAAAGTATCCAGAAGGCTCCAGAAAGCATGATCTTCTAAAAGTGAAGAGAACACCTGCAAGGGTTGCAACTCTTTAGTAGCAGTGGCTATAGAAGAAAGGCAGTGAGGGCTCAAGTCTGGAAGACTAGATCCTAAAATGCAAAGGAGCCATGGAAGCCCACAGGCATTATATTTTCACTGTAGTAAGGTAGGATAGAAAACCGAAGCTGAAAAACCTAGAAAGCAACTGTCACGATCAAAACCTCCTGCTGACAGCTAGTCCAACTCCTTAAAATATGGTTAAACAAAAAGGAAAAATTCAGTACTGTGAGAAAAATTCTAAATAAAAAAGGGGGAGGGCAGAGCAGAACTTCTTTATAGATGAAGAAACTCTATTTTGTCATAGAGTAAGTAAAACCTGTAATGCAAAATTACCTTTGTGAATTTAAAATATTAATGTAATAATTGCAGCTTTGAAGGAAATAAATGAAGCAGAAATAAAAGAAATGATGGAAGAAATAGCCAGACAACAGAGGGAAATTAGGAAATAAAGGAACTCAGTAAAGAAAGAAGAAATGATTAAGATATTTTAGAATAAACAACAATTATGAGAAGAACAAAGGAGACTACACCCCACAGCAAACAGAGTCTAAAGAAGAGAGTACAGAAATATGAAAAAGAAATCAACATGTTACAAGAACTGCAGGGGAAATGACCCCTACAGAAGACAGGGAAAAGAGATTGAACCTACACATAATTGGACCTCTTTCTCAAACTCCAAATTCATTTATGCAACAGCTTAGCTCAACATCTCCACTTGGAGGTCCACATCGCAAACTCCTATGTATCTAAAGCTGAACTTCGGATCTTCCTTTCCAATGAGTTCTTGCAATCTTACCCATTTTACCTGATGGCAATTCCATTTTCTAGCTTCTCAAGCCAAACTTCTTGGAGTCACCTTTGACTTTTTACATTCTTTTACACACTACATTCAATCCACCAGTAAGCCCTGCTGCTTCCATCTTCAAAATAAATCCAGCCAGTTCTCAAACTTCCACTGCTATCACCGTGGTCCAAGCCACCATAATCTCAAGCTTGAATTATTGCAATAAGCTTCAAATTAGCTTCTTTCTCTTACTCTTAGGTTCCTATTTTTAACAGAAGCCAAAGTGACCCTTTAAGAGTTAAATCAGATCACATGACTCCTCTGCTTAAAATACTCAAGATGATTTCCTATTTCACTCTGAATTACAACTGGTTTTACACTTTCAATCTGCTAATTTACTCTACAGATGTACATGCACACATAGAAATGACATTTGTTGCTACATTATTTATAATAAAAAAGCATGGGAAACAAACCATGTCAATCATTCAGTAGCTGTTTAAGTATACTATGATTCAGGGGATACATTGCAGCTTTTAAAACAAATGCAGGTATTTCTGTTTCTGCATAGGATGAAGTAGAACCAAATAGTCAAGGATCTCACCAGCAACTAGGAAAAGAGGGATAAATTACAAAGATCTTATTGTTAAAGGCATAAGAGACATTGGGGAAACAATAAGAACTAAGTGGACTACAAAACTCCAGAGAGGAGAGAGCTGTGCAGAAGTAAACAGATAGGAAATCACTATTTATTTCACTGGTCTGTGATTCCTGGGTATGGGTTGAAGGTCAGGACCAAAACAGTAACCTTTGAAAAACTGATAGCTAATACCAAACATAATAGTGAAATATTAATACTTTCCTCCTAATTAGGAAAAAAGCAAGCTACTATATTCTTGCCCTTCTATTCAACAATATCTTAGAGGTCCTACTGATTGTAAGAATGCAAGAAAAAGAAATAAATGGTATAAAAATAAGAAAACAAAGTAAGTTTATCTGTTTGCAGGACAGATCGTTCATGTATAAAAATCCTAAGGAATCTACAAAGTAACTACTAGAACTAATAGGTGAATTTTGAAAGGTCGCAGAGTACAAAGTTAACACATAAAAAACAATGTATTGTTTTTATGTGCCAGCAGGATACAACTGGAAAACAAAAGCAAAAATAATTTTATCTGCAACAGCCTCAAAAATATAAAATACTTAAGAAAATAATTATCACAGACAATGTGACAGGCAAGACTTCATCACAAAAAAACTACAGAAATTTCTGAAAGAAATTTCATAGCTAAATAAATGGAGTAATGTACAGCATTCATAGATTTGATGATTTAATATTGTTAAAAAGTCAGCTGTCCTCCAGTTTTTCTATAGATTTAGCAAATTGCCAATCACAATTCCAGAAGCCTGTATTACAGATATTGTCAAGCCAATACTAAAACGTCCATTAAAATGCAAATAATTGTAAATACCCTGTCAATTACAAAAAACTATGGAGAACTTTCACTATGGGACTTAAAGACTTACTATAAAATTATAGAATTTAAGACTATACTATTAACAAAGGAATGGGCATAAATATCAATGGTATAGGATAGAAAGGCTTGAGACAGAGCTACACCTATGTGGTCAGTTAATTTTTGAAAAGCTGCAAAAGCAATTTAATGAGAAAAACAAAGTCCTTCAAGAAATGATACTGGAACAATTAGACATCCAGATAAGGAAAAAAATGAACCTCACCCTTTACTTATACCTTACAAAAATACTAACTCAAAGTGAGTCATAGACCTAAGTGTAAAACACAGAATTATAAAACTTTAAGGAAAAAAAAAGCAGAATAATCTTTGTGACCTTGCTTGACTTTCTGAGACAAGCTTGTAAAAATGTTCCTTAAAATTTATCAAAAACATATGCTTAAAGAAGGCTATGGGAGACAAAACAGTATTTCTTTAAAAGATATCATTTTTCGTCTATCACACTAGCAAGAATTATGGTATCTAGTGTAGGTCAGGATATGAAGAGCCAGACAATCCCCTACACCCAAAGGAAAAGAAAAAGTGTAAATTGTCACATCCCTTTGTAATGGTAGCACAAGTAATATAAACAATCTAAATGTTCATGTCCTTTGACTAGGCAATTTCACTTTTAGGAATTTATTCTGAGTAAACAATCAGATTAGTGTGAAAAAGCACAACTACACAATATACATACACACAAGACAGTGTTCACTGAAGCATTAGCTTAAAGAAAGTTGACAGTGACACAATTTGTGGAAGATATACTATATTTGAAAGCTATTTTAAGCACAAAAGCCTCTATGTACTACAAGGAATACTAATATCCTCAGTATGCAGTAAAAATGGATCTCCTCATCACCAAGTAATAACACCAGCTGAAAATACAGTGCTGCTAAATTTGTAAAGACCAAATATGCAAGGAATTTTTCAGTCCCTTGGTGTTAACTCCAATTTCAATACAAATCTACTGTGCGTTTTTAGAAATTGAAATTACTGTAACATATTTCTGTCTTTCCCAATTATTGCAGGGTTTAGTTAATAGATATATACTTAGGATTTTTTAAATTATAACGAAGTAACTAGCGTTTACAAATCAATCTTTACTTCCAAAAAGGCAGCTACAAACTATAATGTATTTCATAACGAATAAAAATCTCTTTCGCAAAACATTGCATAAGGAATAGTTGTTGATTTTCAGTCGAAGAATTCATAAATGACTAGATCCTTTCATTGTGGGCAGCAGGTATCCTCCTCGTATTCTAACAGAGCACTTGAGATTCAACGCAAGAAAGAAAAAAGAAAACATTACCACCTCCAGAAACCCCAACCGCTAAAGCCACATACCTTGATTCTCGCTTTCTCTACAAATTCTAGAGGCGCTTTCCCAAACTCAAATCCAGCTCCAATCCAAGGAATCCAGCCCCTTATGCACGGGGGTTCGCGCAAATTCTTCCACTTAATGAGAATTAAAAGAGCAACGCAACCTAGGATTATAATCACTGTTGGGGAAATTAATTCCATGTTTTGTGTTTTGGTCTTGCACCTTCCGAAATCAGAAAAAGGTAAAGTCCGCTGCTCGGACTTTCTCCTTCCCTCTAGCAAAGGGTACTCACTGGACCTCCCAACTTGTCGGGGGCAACTTCCGCAGCTTGTTCGCCTCTTAACTGTAGTCTCCTTTCTCCGCCCCACTTTTTAGATGACTTTTACAACACTGCTCCCTCCCCCCTCCACTTCTCTCTCCAGTCTGGCCACTGGGGCTAGACCTAAGCGTCGCGAGGGTGGAGGATGAGGAAAGAACAGGCTCTGTTGCCAAGGAGACCGGACGGTTGTGCAACGGGGCCCTCTCTCTAGGCCAATCAGAAAAGGCGGCCCCAAAGGCGCGCAGCGCGGCGGACTACATCTCCCAGAAGCCTCGTGGGCTGCTCTTTGTTTTCCTGCTCGCCCTCCGCTGGACCACTCCAACCTGGAGGGCTACGTGTTTGCCGGATCCGCACGGCCGAGCCGAGCGAGGGAAATGCTTCCTGCCCCGCCGCTCACCGGTTGAGGACGGGCCGCCCTGGCAGGGTGGCAGGCCAGCCGCGGCGCGGGGCGCCTGCCAGAAGGCGTGCATTGTCGTTCTGTCCTGCGGCTGAATGTCGGTTCCAGAGGATGAAGAGAGGCTACGGCCGCTCGCCCAGAGATGGCCCCGAGCGAGCAAGTTCCTTCTGTCTGGCTGCGCGGCTACCGTGGCCGAGCTAGGTATCCGGCCGCCCACGCCTGGGCTCCCGCGCTGTTGTCCATGCGCCGCGATGGGGGTGGCTGCGGGACGGGCGGGGGACGGGCAGCTGCGTTCCCGGCGTGAGCTGCCCTCGGGCTCGCCGCCCTCTTCACACCTGTCTGGCAGATGTCGCAGGGGGGCGCAAGGCCAGCTTTGTGAGGAGGAGAGACTGGAGGTCACTAAGGGCTCTTCCTTCCCAATTAAGTCTCTATCAGAAGTGTGCTGTCGTGTCTGAATGTGTACTTTAAGAAGCTTCACGAGCTGTCGTTCCTCAGTAGGAATCATTTTCCCTTTCGTGAGCATGATCTTTTTAAGACACAATCCACTTTTCATCATTAGTGAGGTAATCTCTGTGATTTATATTCTTGCACAGCCTCAGTATGTCGTTGTTCCTAGAGTCCAAGTTGTGGACCCAGCCAGTGGACCTCTTTTAGCTTAGCTCATCTACACTGTTTACCTTGAAGGGTTCTGAGAAATCAATATATATACTAAACCCAAGGCAGGGCACCCATGATTAATTGGGACATTATAATTACTACAGTGCTAGAGACTATAGAGATACAGTTAAGAAGACACAGCTCCGACCTTCTTAAAAGCTGATGGGGAGACATGCAGAGACCATTACATTGTGCTACTTAGTATAATGAAGGTATTATTAAGTATCATAGAGCACAGGAGATGGACATCTACATCAGCAAGTCAGAGAAAACTCAAGAGGCCACCTCAAGAGAATTATGATGCCCTTCTGTAAGCAGGTGGTGTTTTGTCGAAGGATTTAGGAATAGAATGCCTACATGTTCCCTGTGAAACATTCACTGTGCATTTTAAGCTTATCCTTTCATTTTCTTGACCATTAAAAAAAAAAGCTGCTCTGGTGTGTTATCATTTGTAAATGTTAGTTTGTCCTGTTCTAAAATGAGTATTTTGTATTTTCAGCAGAGCCAGCCATAATCTGTTGTTTTGCCCTTTGTGCTTCTCCATCCATACTTGCCCTTTGGACTCCATGCTCCACCTCACCACCACCAATGCTGATGGGGAATTTTTATTATTAATTGTTTTTACTGAAATGCTATTCATCTTTTTAAAAAATTTAAAACCAGATTGCTGAATTATTAGATAGATTTCCAGTTTTCTTTTTTTTTAACCTTATGTTTACCCAGTGACCAATGACTTTTTTAAAGGAATATTCCTTCTGTTAAAAATTTGTGTGGAGAATTATGTGGGAGCTGGTAATAGAGGTGGGGGAATCAAAATATGAGATGGTTTTAAGTACAAAAAAATTTAGAATGAGCATTAAGTAACCAGCAAGAAAACCAAAATTAGAGAGTTATAACCCATGCTAATACAAAGGTTCCTGTATCTTAGGACGTTTCAGGGTTCATATGTTAATAAAGCAATGCCTGACTTCTCTATATGCAAACTACTTTTTTTTAGGGAAACTGTTAGCCAGGTATTAACTTTTCCAAAGACCAGTGGTAAGATTTAATATTCTCTTCTCCCACTCCTTTTTCTCTTGGAAAAGGCATAGCTATGGTCTTGTATCAGGTGGTGCTCTTTGGGAAGCCTTATGTAATGTCAGTAATATTCATGAACTTATCTGAATCTGGTTATTTCAGTTATTTGGGACATTGTGTGTATAAACTTAATGAGCTTGATCTTCCTAATAATGTGGTCCAGTTAACTTTGTTTCAAGGTAAAAGGTCTATCTCTAATTCAAAATTCAATCACTGGAAAATTTTCCAAGTATACTTAGTACTTGCAAGGAGGCCATGCATAAAACTTAGTGCTGGAAAACTTGCTCAATATGTGCCTTAGTTGAAAGAGTATTGAGCATGCCCCCCTTGCATATAATAGATGACATTATAAACTCCAGTTGCATCTTCTGTATCTTAAACACCAGGTCAGTGATTGATCTGCATCTGAATATCACCCATGAGACTTCAAATTCAGCTTTATCTGGCATTTATTAAGAACCTACCACAAGTAGCACAGTTTTATAAAAATCACATTCGATCTTAATCATGATGGCAGTCAAGGGAACAACACAGAACCTGGATACCTAAAATTATTCGTATTGGAAAGCAAAAATTAAGGATTAAAGTAGATTTTTTTCACTGAAATTTCTGAATAAAAAGAACTGAGGGCTTTTCCCTTTTATTTTTTTCCTGCTGATCTAAGGCTGTACTGGAAATGATTCTTAAATGTGGAAGTGCAGAAGAATCAAGTGATTTTTCTAAACCCACATTAACCTACTGAAAACTCATGGGCATGAGGCTAAGAAATCTGCAGTTTTTAATAATTTCTCTAACTGATTCTGCTGTTTTCAAGATTTTGACAACCACTAATCTTGTGATGACTAAAATGTTAATCCTATGATTTTAAAATTTTATAATATTTGTTTGTTCCTCTGAATGTTGTGGGTTTCCCCCTCATTTTGTTTTTTTTGTTAGCAACCTTTCCCCTTGATCTCACAAAAACTCGACTCCAGATGCAAGGAGAAGCTGCCCTTGCTCGCCTGGGAGACGGTGTAAGAGAATCTGCTCCCTACAGGGGAATGGTGCGCACTGCCCTAGGGATTGTCCAAGAGGAAGGCTTTCTAAAGCTTTGGCAAGGAGTGACCCCTGCCATTTACAGACACGTAGGTATTTATCTTGATTCTAGCTGGTAAGTTTGTTATGAGTTCTGTGTTCATTTTCTGTGCTTTTCTGTCTAGCGGTGTCCAAAAACTAGCTGGTTTTTTCTACTAATGTGTTAAAATGGATGTGTACTCAAAAAAGAAGAAAATTAACTACCAATTTTTATTAAGGAACTATTCCTTAAATTTTTTAGAAACGCATATACAAGTATTTAGGGATGAATTCTCATGATGTCTGTAATGTATTTTAAAATAACTTTTTAAAAAATAAAGCAAATATGGCCAAAATGTTAGCAATTGGTAAATCTCCATGATAGATATTGAGCTGTTTTTTTTCTTTTTTTCTTTGTTTCAAATTTTTCCTAATACAAATTTTTTAAAGTTTAAGAAAGAAAACAATGAATAGTTGATCTTTTTTTCCACTTTGAAACTGTAAACACAAAATTTAAATTTTTTTAATGTTCTTCGAAAATTAAAATATACTTAACTACAAGGCCAAATCTCACCAGTCTCTGTCCCATTCATTAGAGACCAAGCTACTCTGAAAGACAACAAGGGTGACTGTCTAATTCAATTCCGGCATTAGAGTAAATGCCCTGAAGTTAGATTTTGCTTCAGTTCCCCAGATTACTTAACTAGGGGGACTTTGGTCACTCTTGAAGAAAAATAGCTGCAATTACACTACAGTCAATCAGAACACTTTTCTGTTCTGCTTCCAAAGTGGTACTCACAAGGATAAGAATTGTTGAGTTTTCAGCTTTGTACTTGAGTTTTCAGTGGACGAGACAACATAAACTTGGCTTCAATAGGAGGTAGGACCAGTGTGGCATTTGTCTCCTTCATATTCATAGCGTTTCCTCAAGTATGCAAGGACCCTTGAACAGTAGACTATCCAGTACTAATGTTTACCAGTTTATTATTTTAAAAGCTTCAGTTCTTCAGATGAGTAAGTTAGAGTATATTCATCAAGAACTATCCAGAAGTGTGTACAGAGACTGTTATTGTTTTGGTACTTTGTATATTTTTGAATATCCTAAAATAACTTCTTCAGACTTCCTGAAATATCAAGGAAAGCTCTCCACATGAACACCATGTCGTGATTTTAATGACTTTTATTTTCCATTCTTATTTTTTAAAATATTTTCTCCTCCACTTTCCAATATTGTTATAAGTTTCACTTCTTTTCATTTGTATTTTGTTGTCTACCATATGTGGTTTTACAGCTAAGATTGAGCCTTGACTGAAAAGTTAAGTTGGTATAATAAATTATCAAATGAAGTTATATATGTTTATTGAATGAAAATGCCTGCTGTGCTAAGCCCCATACTAGGGCATTATTGAAAACACACAATACCTGCCTTGAGAAGCTCTTGGTCTGATGGATAATAACTATTATTAATGTCTGATGGTCTAATAACTAGTAACTAATAACTATGATAAATGCCATATTAGATGTATGCCCTGGGTAATTCCTAGATAAACAGACAAGAAGCATGGACAGTGTGATAAGAGTCCAGAACATTGGAGGAAAAGACAGAGAGCATTTTCTGGAAAACATGTTCCTTGAGTCGAGTCTTGAAAAACTAAGAGTTAGCAAAGCAGAGAAAAGAGAATCCTTCAAGAAATGGAAAACTTGCTCAATATGTGCCTTAGTTGAAAGAGTATTGAGCATGCCCCCCTTGCATATAATAGATGACATTATAAACTCCAGTTGCATCTTCTGTATCTTAAACACCAGGTCAGTGATTGATCTGCATCTGAATATCACCCATGAGACTTCAAATTCAGCTTTATCTGGCATTTATTAAGAACCTACCACAAGTAGCACAGTATTATAAAAATCACATTCGATCTTAATCATGATGGCAGTCAAGGGAACAACACAGAACATGGATACCTAAAATTATTCGTATTGGAAAGCAAAAATTAAGGATTAAAGTAGATTTTTTTCACTGAAATTTCTGAATAAGAGGAACTGAGGGCTTTTCCCTTTTATTTTTTTCCTGCTGATCTAAGGCTGTACTGGAAATGATTCTTAAATGTGGAAGTGCAGAAGAATCAAGTGATTTTTCTAAACCCACATTAACCTACTGAAAACTCATGGGCATGAGGCTAAGAAATCTGCAGTTTTTAATAATTTCTCTAACTGATTCTGCTGTTTTCAAGATTTTGACAACCACTAATCTTGTGATGACTAAAATGTTAATCCTATGATTTTAAAATTTTATAATATTTGTTTGTTCCTCTGAATGTTGTGGGTTTCCCCCTCATTTTGTTTTTTTTGTTAGCAACCTTTCCCCTTGATCTCACAAAAACTCGACTCCAGATGCAAGGAGAAGCTGCCCTTGCTCGCCTGGGAGACGGTGTAAGAGAATCTGCTCCCTACAGGGGAATGGTGCGCACTGCCCTAGGGATTGTCCAAGAGGAAGGCTTTCTAAAGCTTTGGCAAGGAGTGACCCCTGCCATTTACAGACACGTAGGTATTTATCTTGATTCTAGCTGGTAAGTTTGTTATGAGTTCTGTGTTCATTTTCTGTGCTTTTCTGTCTAGCGGTGTCCAAAAACTAGCTGGTTTTTTCTACTAATGTGTTAAAATGGATGTGTACTCAAAAAAGAAGAAAATTAACTACCAATTTTTATTAAGGAACTATTCCTTAAATTTTTTAGAAACGCATATACAAGTATTTAGGGATGAATTCTCATGATGTCTGTAATGTATTTTAAAATAACTTTTTAAAAAATAAAGCAAATATGGCCAAAATGTTAGCAATTGGTAAATCTCCATGATAGATATTGAGCTGTTACTTCTCTTCTTCTCTGTGTTTCAAATTTTTCCTAATACAAATTTTTTAAAGTTTAAGAAAGAAAACAATGAATAGTTGATCTTTTTTTCCACTTTGAAACTGTAAACACAAAATTTAAATTTTTTTAATGTTCTTCGAAAATTAAAATATACTTAACTACAAGGCCAAATCTCACCAGTCTCTGTCCCATTCATTAGAGACCAAGCTACTCTGAAAGACAACAAGGGTGACTGTCTAATTCAATTCCGGCATTAGAGTAAATGCCCTGAAGTTAGATTTTGCTTCAGTTCCCCAGATTACTTAACTAGGGGGACTTTGGTCACTCTTGAAGAAAAATAGCTGCAATTACACTACAGTCAATCAGAACACTTTTCTGTTCTGCTTCCAAAGTGGTACTCACAAGGATAAGAATTGTTGAGTTTTCAGCTTTGTACTTGAGTTTTCAGTGGACGAGACAACATAAACTTGGCTTCAATAGGAGGTAGGACCAGTGTGGCATTTGTCTCCTTCATATTCATAGCGTTTCCTCAAGTATGCAAGGACCCTTGAACAGTAGACTATCCAGTACTAATGTTTACCAGTTTATTATTTTAAAAGCTTCAGTTCTTCAGATGAGTAAGTTAGAGTATATTCATCAAGAACTATCCAGAAGTGTGTACAGAGACTGTTATTGTTTTGGTACTTTGTATATTTTTGAATATCCTAAAATAACTTCTTCAGACTTCCTGAAATATCAAGGAAAGCTCTCCACATGAACACCATGTCGTGATTTTAATGACTTTTATTTTCCATTCTTATTTTTTAAAATATTTTCTCCTCCACTTTCCAATATTGTTATAAGTTTCACTTCTTTTCATTTGTATTTTGTTGTCTACCATATGTGGTTTTACAGCTAAGATTGAGCCTTGACTGAAAAGTTAAGTTGGTATAATAAATTATCAAATGAAGTTATATATGTTTATTGAATGAAAATGCCTGCTGTGCTAAGCCCCATACTAGGGCATTATTGAAAACACACAATACCTGCCTTGAGAAGCTCTTGGTCTGATGGATAATAACTATTATTAATGTCTGATGGTCTAATAACTAGTAACTAATAACTATGATAAATGCCATATTAGATGTATGCCCTGGGTAATTCCTAGATAAACAGACAAGAAGCATGGACAGTGTGATAAGAGTCCAGAACATTGGAGGAAAAGACAGAGAGCATTTTCTGGAAAACATGTTCCTTGAGTCGAGTCTTGAAAAACTAAGAGTTAGCAAAGCAGAGAAAAGAGAATCCTTCAAGAAAAATCAGACAGCATGTGTGAAGGCCTGAGGTTTTGAAAGGCATGCCACATTTGAAAAAACATCAAGAAGCTCATATATCAGAAGCATCTGGCTTATGGAAGAAAAACACAGCTAGAAACATTGACTAGGCCAGCTCAGAATATCCTCTTATTTTATTAATGGTTTGTTTTATACAGTGTACTCCGGAGGTCGAATGGTCACATATGAACATCTTCGTGAAGTTGTGTTTGGCAAAAGTGAAGATAAGCATTATCCCCTTTGGTAAGTTTTGTTTTGAAATGGATATACTATTGCCCCTAGGGCCTACTGTCCTTAAAGGCATTAAATTTGTATAAAACTTTGCATATGTACCAAAATCTCCTCAAGTTATAGACCTGAAATAATAATTATAATATAAATAAAAATAATTGAGGATTCACTGCAATTGTATACAAAATTACATGTACATATGTATATAAATAAAAATTGTATATATATTGTTTAGTATTTTAATATTAAAAGAATTCTTACAGGGCACTTCCTTTATTATTTTTTCTGCTGAGAAACCCTGGGCTTTAAAGTCAGACAGAGATGGGCTTAAATGCCTTCTCTGCTATTTTGTAATCTGGCTAAACTACTTCACCATTTTTAAATCTTCAGTTTACTTAGCTGTAGAAATAATACCTACCATCAGGCTTTTGTTTTTTAGGGTTAGATGAGATAATGAAGGTAAATGCATATCACATATAACATTTAAAACAGAAACAGAGAAAAATAGGTTATTATAAGTAATATACATAGAACTCCTATAAACCAATCAAATACATATTAGAAATACAAAGGAAAAATATGGAAAAGATATCAATAGGCAATTCTCAAAAGAAAAAATATAAATGTTCATTAAACATGTAAAAATGTTCAACCTTACCAGTAATCAGGGAAATTAGTCATTAAGCTGTTAATGGAAATGGAAATTTCTGTAGTCTTTTTGGAGTATAAATTACCTGATAAAATTTTTAAATGTGTAATCCTTTGATGTAGCAACTCTTCCTTTATGATTATAATTATATCATAAAGACACTGCATAAAGACACACACACAGAGTTATTGACTGTAGCATTGTTGATAATAGCAAATATTTTTGAAAATTAAATAACTATCAATTTGGAAGAAGTTAGATAAATTATGATATATTTATACAGAGAAACATAACAGCTTTGAAAGAATGAGGTATGTTTTAAATGAGTAACAGGAAGATGACTGTAATATCTTTTCTGGGCTAAAAAAATTATAAATCACAACTGTAAGAAAAGGGCAATAAACAGAATTTCATCCTCCAGGCAAAAATCTCTTGTCCCTGTTTTTGAAAAAATTGTCATCTCCTGACCTATACTAATTGCTTTCCCAAAGTTGTTGATGGAATAGATTAACAGTCCTTGCATTTTGTAATTCCCTGTAGGAGAGAATGATGTAAATAAGGAGTACAAAGGAAATATTTCACTATGAAGTCACCTGTCATGGTGGATGGGCTTGATGTTCTTTGACCAGTCAGAATAATTCATTTGGTCATTAGGTATTTATTAAATGATTATGGTGCCAGTCAGACTTAATACTGAGGCCTAAATAAGGAGAAATACGTAGTTCCTGCCATCACTGAGCTTACAGTCATAGAAACAGATACCTGATCAATGAGAATTGTGTAACAGTTATAGAGGAGGTAGTGGTTAGGAGATCCTCAAAGAGAAAAGACAATGATAATGTACTCTGCTTATCGCTTTGAGGAGGAACAGGTGCTCCCACAGGATGTTGGTGAAAGTGTAAATTGATACCAGTTCTAGAGAGAACAGTTTGGCAGTCTATCATACATCATGTAGATATTCAAATTTCTTAATTAAAAGTTAGCTGTTTAAATAAATTATGGTGTATCAACAAAATGGAATGCTGTGAAACTATTTTTAAAATTGAGGTAGGTCTGTATGAACAGATAGGGATAACCTTCAAGACATATTATTAGGAAAAAAATCTAAGTGCAGAATAGTATACAACCTGGCACTCTACACTGGTGCTTTTAAAAATCAGTATTTATACAGATAGGTTTGTGTATGCAAAATTATAAATTGTAACTTAGTGCTTAAGACCATGAGCTCAGTACTCAGATTGCCTGGAGTTACATCTTGGCCGTATCACTCACTGGTTGTGTGATTGGAGCTGTTAGTTGACTGCTTTATGCGTCAGTTTCCTCATCTGTAAAGAGGAAATAGCAGTGCTACTAATGTCATAGGATTGATATGAGAATTAAGTGATTTTTCTAAAAATTCTTAGGACAGTACCTGACATAATAAGCATGCAGTGAATACATTATTATTATCTCCAGGGAGGCACAGGAAACTAGGATTTGTGATTGTTTCAGAGGAGGGGAAGTGAGGATAGGGAGCTTTTTTATTCTATGCTCACTTGTACCTCTTCAAATATTATTTTATTTTTAGAGTAAAAGGAAATAAAACACTCATTTTCCCCCAAGAGACTATTGCAATAATGTGGGTAAAACATGATTGGAATGTGGCCTGTAACAAGAACAGCTGGAATGGAGAGAAGAGGATGAATTCAAAGTGTGTTTAAATATACTAGTCTGGACTTGATCACTATTGGCTCTGGGAGATGAAGAGAAGGAAGAGTCTAGGGACAGAAAGAATTTCTTCAGAATGAGGAAAGTTTTCAAACCCCCTTCACTTTGCAAAACTATTAAGATAAAAAAAATTTGACTTACCAGCTTTTTTCTGTTAGATTAATTACAACATCTATGCTGTTTTGATTCCCCTGTGGTCAGAATTAAACTGCAATTAAATGGTCAGTTCAGATGTTTATGTCTTTGAAACAATTGCCCTTCCTTTGAATTTCAAGTCATGTGAGGCCCCTGAAACTTCAGATTTGAATTTCAACTCCTGTAGTCCTTTAAACCTCCCTTCAGACCATCTATTTTCCTCTGTGATTTGGGTCTATCCTTCACTTTGTCTTAAATCTGTTATGCAGGGGCTGTACCAGCTTGTTATTGTTCACTACAAAATTTGTGAAATTAATGGTAACTTTTAAAGAAATGTATCTCCTCTTATAATCAGGAAATCAGTGATTGGAGGTATGATGGCTGGTGTTGTTGGCCAATTTTTAGCCAATCCAGCTGACCTAGTAAAGGTTCAGATGCAAATGGAAGGAAAAAGGAGACTTGAAGGAAAACCATTGCGGTAAGTTTTCCAGTTAACCCATGTATCTCCTTTCCCCTTTGCCGCCTTCATATTTTGAGCATTTAACTAATGATTTATGCAATATTGCAATTCAACTTTCAGTGAAGGCATTAATTCTGATTCTTCAAATCTAGAAGTGATATGTTTATTAAGAGGAGAGCTAAGATGGATCTTTTCTTTTCACAATAAAGTGGCATGTTCTCTATCAAATTATTCGGGTGCATAGCTCTTTGCCGCTTTTCCCAGGCAAGGCAGCTAGACTTGTCCCCTGTTGAAACTTGATAGAGAGAGTCTGATCATAAAAATTTGCCCAGTGTGATTACCAGTTTTGCCATATGGTGTTGTGACTTCCACAGCACCATCACCTGATGCTGTGGCAGTCACTTAATATTCCTAGTCTCTGCTCTTTCGTGTTTAAAAGGGGCCATCCAAAAGGTTTGCATGACAGTGAGACCCCCTGGCTCATAAGGTGCCAAAAAGCTGGTTTCTTTCCCTTTCTTCCAAAAAGAAGGGAAATAGCAAGATTGACTTAACAGATTGTTTGCACTCCCCTGTCTAATCCTTTATTTTATTTTTAGAGTAAAAGGAAATAAAACACTCATTTTCCCCCAAGAGACTATTGCAATAATGTGGGTAAAACATGATTGGAATGTGGCCTGTAACAAGAACAGCTGGAATGGAGAGAAGAGGATGAATTCAAAGTGTGTTTAAATATACTAGTCTGGACTTGATCACTATTGGCTCTGGGAGATGAAGAGAAGGAAGAGTCTAGGGACAGAAAGAATTTCTTCAGAATGAGGAAAGTTTTCAAACCCCCTTCACTTTGCAAAACTATTAAGATAAAAAAAATTTGACTTACCAGCTTTTTTCTGTTAGATTAATTACAACATCTATGCTGTTTTGATTCCCCTGTGGTCAGAATTAAACTGCAATTAAATGGTCAGTTCAGATGTTTATGTCTTTGAAACAATTGCCCTTCCTTTGAATTTCAAGTCATGTGAGGCCCCTGAAACTTCAGATTTGAATTTCAACTCCTGTAGTCCTTTAAACCTCCCTTCAGACCATCTATTTTCCTCTGTGATTTGGGTCTATCCTTCACTTTGTCTTAAATCTGTTATGCAGGGGCTGTACCAGCTTGTTATTGTTCACTACAAAATTTGTGAAATTAATGGTAACTTTTAAAGAAATGTATCTCCTCTTATAATCAGGAAATCAGTGATTGGAGGTATGATGGCTGGTGTTGTTGGCCAATTTTTAGCCAATCCAGCTGACCTAGTAAAGGTTCAGATGCAAATGGAAGGAAAAAGGAGACTTGAAGGAAAACCATTGCGGTAAGTTTTCCAGTTAACCCATGTATCTCCTTTCCCCTTTGCCGCCTTCATATTTTGAGCATTTAACTAATGATTTATGCAATATTGCAATTCAACTTTCAGTGAAGGCATTAATTCTGATTCTTCAAATCTAGAAGTGATATGTTTATTAAGAGGAGAGCTAAGATGGATCTTTTCTTTTCACAATAAAGTGGCATGTTCTCTATCAAATTATTCGGGTGCATAGCTCTTTGCCGCTTTTCCCAGGCAAGGCAGCTAGACTTGTCCCCTGTTGAAACTTGATAGAGAGAGTCTGATCATAAAAATTTGCCCAGTGTGATTACCAGTTTTGCCATATGGTGTTGTGACTTCCACAGCACCATCACCTGATGCTGTGGCAGTCACTTAATATTCCTAGTCTCTGCTCTTTCGTGTTTAAAAGGGGCCATCCAAAAGGTTTGCATGACAGTGAGACCCCCTGGCTCATAAGGTGCCAAAAAGCTGGTTTCTTTCCCTTTCTTCCAAAAAGAAGGGAAATAGCAAGATTGACTTAACAGATTGTTTGCACTCCCCTGTCTAATCCTACTCCTCCTCTTTTCCTCAAGTTTAAGGACAGATTTTTTTAATGCCTCTGTGATATAAAATCCTCCAATTGTAGCATTATCCTGTGCCTTTCTTTGACAGGCTTCATGTTCAACAATTTATTTACATACTCCTTAGCCAGTTTCCCCTGGGAAGGGGGCAAAATCTCGCAAATACATCTTTCCCAGAAAAGAGGAAAAGTCCGGATGTCTTGAGCTAAGTACAAAGGGGTCTACTCCTCTGAACACTGGAGGTCTGTGGCTGGGGCAGAAGTGAAGGAGGGCTTCCTTTGGGAGCTCACCACTGACCACTACACTTCACTGTGCTGCTCCTCTAACCAACTCAGTGGAAAATGAGGCTGGGCTGCAGCAGTCCAGACTCCACTTGAGCCTTACAAACTGGAAGAAAATGTACACCAAAGATGAGAAAAAGATACGCTGACTTAACCACTTGGTTTACAGAATCCTGGGGCCCATTGTGTCATCTTGTAATAACTTCTAGTTACTAAGTAGCAGAAAGAAGTGATGCTGCCTTGGTTGGATATATGAAGAAAACTAATTATTGGGATCTTGAAATATCTGAGTTTTCAACTGATTACATCAATTGTCTTCCCTCTCTTTGTCTCTAATATTGAAGGTTTTTGATTCAATAAAGTAGTAAAAAACATTGCATGTCGTTGTAAAAAAGATGAACCTTGGGATCAGACACCCTGGGATTTAAATCTAGCCTTTACCACATTTTAGCATTGTAACCCTAGTCAAGTTCCTTAAACTTTCTAAGCCTCAGTTTCCTTGGATGTAAACTAGAATATTAATACACACCTCAAGAGTTTTCAGGAATAATGTCTATCTTATATATATAAAAAGTCTGGTACTTAATAAAGGCACAATAAACTTTAGATACAATGACTATCATTCATGAGTATAACCTCCCATGTAGCATAATAGCAATTATGCAAGCTTAACAAATATGTTATATTATCCTTTTGGTGACACTTAGAGAGTGTAGTGCCTAAGAGCACACAGCTAGTCAGTGGGAAAGGTGGCATTTGACTTCTAGTATTTCTGACTCTATAAAACACAGATTTTATATCAGAGGTTTCCAGATTTGGTTCATGATTCAGCACCATTTTTCATCTCTGTACAGAAAAATGAGCAAAATAAGGATAAGATAGTCAAAAAGTATTTGACTTCCTTAAAGTAAAAAATTACCCAATTTTAAGAATTATTATTATGAGATTGTCCTTTTCACTTTTTAGTCTAAAAATATAATTTCTTTCATGACATTATGTGAGGATTGATGTTTTTAAAATGTTGTTATTTGGTGAAACTACAAAATTAGCAAGTCTCATATAATACTAGTGAAACAAACCCAGAGGTCTGATAACCACTGTTCCCTCCTATAATTAATATGTGCACTGCTGATAAAAAATATCAAATAAAGAATTTTAATTTGTTTAGTAATCTGAGAAGAGGATGACCCAGCCTATAAAAATTTCCATAAAAAGTGTTTAAATCAAATGTTGCGTTGTGAATTGCTTTAATTTTTAACAACTCTGAATAGTTAAGGTGTTATTTCACTGCAAATCATAATAGCTATAGGCAGAACTTATCCAGTTGCATTCTGTAAACAGGAATGCATAGAATTTTCACATTTCATTATTATTTTCCTTTAGATTTCGTGGTGTGCATCATGCATTTGCAAAAATCTTAGCTGAAGGAGGAATACGTGGGCTTTGGGCAGGCTGGGGACCCAATATACAAAGAGCAGCATTGGTGAATATGGGAGGTAATGGATATTTTATTGAATTCTAAGAAATCCTGATTGCTTTAATCCTTATAATTATAAGCACTTATAATAGGGAAAATGGAAGTTTTAATTTTATTATTTTTAATATTACATATTGATAATAGTCTTCTTTTATGTTGTAATATCACAATTGAATATTTTCCCTAGAGCATTTTTACTTTTTTCCGTGGTAATATGTGAAAAGATTTCCTAAAACAGGGAACTTGTTACAATAAGACCAAAATATTTCTAAGGTTTTCTCTTACTCCACACCCTCCTTTAAGATTCAAACTGTCTTTTGTAACCATATGATAGTTTTTATATCCAGGCTGTCCAAACCTTTCCCCTGAGTAATCCTGCTCCTGTTGCTGTATAATCCCATCTTGTACACCCTGATCACCTCAGGCTGGAAACGTGAACTTTTCTTTAACTCATCCCTATCCCTCCTTCCCATATGCACTAACTAACTTCTTCTGTCTTCTAAGTAGCTCCTTAAAGTTTCCTCCCTCCAATACGTACTACATTAGTATCCTTAACATGACCATTTTTACAATACTAGGCATCAAAACCACAGAACCTGACCTCTGCCACAGCCATCAGACTGGTCTCCTTTGTCCTCAGATGTGTATCCAGTATCCAGAGTGATTTATCTGAAACAGATTTGAGCATGCTATTTGTGTCCTTAAAGCTCTTCACTGGCTTCTCATCACTCTCAAAATAAAGTGGAAATTTCATAACATGACATAGGAAGTCTGCAAAGTCCCACCTGTGCCTTCAGGGAATTGAGAAATTCATTGATTCTGAAACAAAGTAGAGTCATGAGCTAAAATCTACTGCCTACACATAGTCAACTGTTCTTCCCCTCTGTACTTTCTGTGCTCCTTCTGCAGGTCTTTAACACTCAGCTAAGGTGTCTTCACCAAAGTATTTTTCCTGAACCTCCCACAACCTTCCGTAGTCATATTGTGTTAGATGCCCATTTGCATTTCTGTAGTTCCCTGTGCTTATCTGTTATGGTATGTACCTCATTTCATTGTCTCCTACTGTGTATCTGTCTCCTCCACTAGATTATAAGCCCCCTGAAGGCAGGACTATGTTTTATTTATTGTTGTTTTCCTAGTCTCACATGTAGTCAATAAACATTTGATGAATGGATTAATGAATAAAAGAGTCCTTTCTATGACTAAAATTATATGATTCTAAGAAATTGACAAACAGCACTTTTGAGGGTTTTAGTAATATCATTTAAACATCTCAGGAAGTAAATCTATTTTCTATTTTGCTATTTAAATCCATCCATGTCTACTGTATCCTATTGGTGCATATTTTGGTTGTCAGAAAGTTTTCCTGATTGTAGTTTCTCAGTTCAATGCTTCAAAATCTGTTGCAGCTCAGATTTCTCTTCCAAGTTCCAGCTATTTACTCAGCGTGTTCATTTAGTTATCTCAAATATATAGCTTTGAATATGTTGAGACCAATCTGGCTTATCAAACCACATCCTTCTCCATTCTTCTCAATCTCAGAAAAGGTCATCTTTTCAGTTGAACAACCCAGAAACCTAGGCATGACTTTTGTCTTTCCTTTCACTTACTCCTTATAGCCACTCAGTCACCAAGTCCAGCCAATTCTATCTCCCACATATATCTCAAATTCATCTACTTTTCTTCATCAGTGGAGCCACTCTTCTTCATAATACTCCAAATATTATTTATCTTTTCCTACTAGACTATTGAAAAAGCCTCCTAACTTGTCTCCTCATTATCTATCCCACAGTCATTTTTTTCCCACTGTGCCTCTGAAACTGCTCTTATCAACATTACCAGTGCCCATCATCTTATTTAAAAAATTTTTAATTAGTCAATGCTCATTTTCACAATCTCCATAAATGGCAGTTCCTCCCTTCAAACTGTTTAAGCTCAAAACCTTGTTGTCCTCTGGATTCCTTTCTTTCACTCCATATTCAGTCTGTTGGCTATTCCCATTGATTCTGCCTTCAGAACACATCCAGAATGTGACAGCACTTCACGACAGCCTTATCCAAGCCACCATCATCTCTTACCAGGCTACCTGCAGTCGTCTTGTATCCATCTGCCTTGTCTCCCCGTAGTCTTTTCTCACCAGAACAGCAAGAGTAATCCTTGTAAATAGTAATCCAGCCAGTCACTTCTCTGCCCAGAGCTCTCCCCTAGCTTCTGGGGCTCTCCGTCACCTCAGCTCTGTTACTTCTCTGCATCGGCCTTACTCTGCTCCTGTTACCACTCTTGCTGTTCTTCTAACACACTAAGCTGACTTTTTTGCTTCAGTTTTTTTTCCCAGTGCCAGAATAATGCTTACCACATGGTAGGCACTCAAGTATTTGGGTGAATGACCAAATGTATCTATGCATTCTTGCCTATTTACAGTTCACTTCCCTATACTTCAGCATAGGTAATCTCTATAACATTCCAGTATTGTTATGTATCACACCCCTGTTTAAAAGTCTCCAATAGCTCTACATTGTCATTAGAAAAAGCACAAAGAGCTTAATGTAGAATAATCATCATGATGTTTATAAAAGTGACAAAATCTCAACTCAGCCTAACTTAGGAGAAAAAGGGAATTAATCAGGTAAGATACTGAGAAGTCCAGAGACTGAGCTGACTTTTGGCAAAGATGGGTTCAGGTGGCCAAATGATATAATTGAGTGTCTGTCTCTCTTCTTTTCCTCCCCTTCCATCTGTAGCTCTGCTTTCCTCTGCTTGAGAAAAAGAATGGTATCTTTCATTCTTGTACATGTTCCTGCCCCAAGCTAAGCATATTTTTGACATAAAAGACATTCATTGTTGAGTGCATGAATATTTAAGTCTTCCTTTTCTTTTCTATTGCCAGATTTAACCACTTACGATACAGTGAAACACTACTTGGTACTGAATACACCACTTGAGGACAATATCATGACTCATGGTTTATCAAGGTTAGTGATTGCTTTAGTTTGATTCTTTTTAGTTTTTTTCTCCTCATTTGGCATAATTTTTTTTTTCTCTTTTGATTGGGTATCTAGTGATATTACTCTTAGAGAAAGGTGATAGCACTTTTATAAAGAGCAATTTTTGTGAGGTTTGTTGCAGTTAAAATGAGGAGGAGACAGAAAGTTGCAGAATGTTTCAGGTGAAATATCCTGAAATATTTGCCCCTTGATGGGGCCCTCCCAGAGTCATATTCTGATGATCAGTTCTCCAACTTAATTCCACAGATATGTTTGAACATCTGTTATATTAAAGGTACTGTGCAAGGCCCTGCAGTGGGTACAAAAGGTAAACCAAACTCCTTTCCAGGGAGTTTCCCCAGGCGAAAAACAAGACAGGTATAAAAACACTGTATAGTAAATACTAAAAAAAAAAGTGACTGGTTACTGTAAAGTTCAGAGGAGGGAGAAAAAATAACCACATATGCTATTTAGACAACCCCAGAAGTATATAAATACATAGTATGAACCAATACTATTCAGAGAATCATATAGAGATAAATGATTCCTAAGTTCACGTTCACCTTAACTTAATATTCCTAGTTTTCTTCATTCCTCCTGTTTTAAAAGAAGTGTTATTTTTAGTGCTCCTAGAGCAATCTTTTTCTTTTGTCTTTGCTCACCATTTTTTCCCATTACAGACCCTCATCTAGGTGTGTTCACAGACCACACCACACTTTCTCTACCCAATAGTCCAGCTTCCTCTTTCACGTACAAAACTGAGGATTATAGCCCTCCTTCCATGTTTTACTTCCATCCCTATAAAATATGTGTTATAACTGCACCCACGCTTACCATCTTTCATCCACATCTATTCATGCCGTTCACTCTACCTACGAGAATTTTTCCCCCAATTTCTACCCAAGTAAGTCATCTTGTGAGACTTTCTTATCTTTCAAGATGCTTGTCAGTTCCAGTGTTATGATCTACTCTTAGAGTAGGTTATTCAGGTCTGTACAGTAGTTCCACATTGATATTACCTCTGTTTCTTTTTTATTTTCTTTCTACCCAAATTGTCTTTGAAATACCATACTTGTAACCTAAGATTCATGGATTTCCCAGCAGGTGTAAATTTGCCTAATGTGTACTATTCCATCTAACAGATGTCTTTTTTGGAAAGACACAAGATTTCAGCTGTTCATATTCCAACCTTAATCTGAAATAATTTAGTCTTATTGTTCTCTAATTTAGGTTTTGAGAATATGGGATGATGGGTATTTGTTTCATTTTTCAGCTCTGTCTACTGGATAAGATTTTTAAATGGGTTGGTATGAGTATATGTAGCACATGAGGCAGCTCAAATTTGCTAACCAGGAACTCAAATAGAAGCAGGTAAATAGTGCTGTGAGATCTGGAAGTTCTGGATACCTTGCCACAGGATAAAATAAGTGCTTGTGGCAGCTTGAAAGGGATTGCAGCTGTACAATCAGAGAGCTTTATGTGAGACAACATTTTGGGAAAAAGGCATTTGATATGAAGAAGAATAAAAATTCTGTAAGCACTGAACTGTGCACTTAAAAATTGTTAAAATGGTAAATTGCACATTATGCCCATTTTACTGAAACAAAAAATTTAAAAATGGTGCAAGTAAACCGAAAACCTAGGATAGGGCAGGACCAGTAGAAGATTGTGGCCAGGATTTTAGTGAGATGGGAAGGCAGATGTTAAGGTATGTTAATAAAGGAAGCAGAGGAAAGGTTGGGAGTTGAATTATGGTCAGGTAATGAGATACAACAGAAAAATCAGAATAATCCCCTTTTTCTTCTTTTTAAATCATGTGGCTATTGAGACAGTACTGTGAAAAGGTTAGTTTACATTGTGTGACGATTATGCATGAGCATGGTTACATAGTTCATCCTGAAGAGGATCTCTGACTCTGACACAGTGCTGATGCGTTATTGTAACCTAGTCATGCAGAAAGCCATTGGTCTCCTGAAGAGAAGAAGACTTGCCCAATGGACTCTGTCTGTTTTCACTATAGCTGTGTCCTGGGCTTCATTTGGGGGTTTTACTAGCAAGAAGTAGTAAAGGTCAACAGCAAAAAGCATCAATGTCCATTTCAATACAAGTAGCTGGTGAAAGTGATGTGCCTTTTATTGCTCTATCTTCTCACTTTGACTCCAGATACCATCCTTAATACACTGAGACCTCCTTAATACAGTGTTTGCTCTCTTTTAATAATTATTTGTGAAGTCTAGCCAGATCACACTACATCCTCAAAACAGTTTGATCACAAGAGGATGAAGTTGCATCCTGAAGTCTCTGTGTGCCAAACAGGGTCCCCAGCTGCTGAAAAGAGTCCTTGATATGATTAGCATGCAGGTGGAAAAATCCTTTAATAATCAGTAACAAGGGCTACTTACATTATTTAAAATGGAATTTATTCATATGAATACTCTGGTGGAAGTAGTTTCCTTCTACTCTTGGCACTTGTGTGTGAAGCTGAGCTGGCACCCAGCCTCTCTGAAATAAATAAGTAAAAATATTGTCTTTTCTTCCAGTCTTTGCGGCAAATAGAGGGGATCTGTGTATCTATTTCTACCCTATTTTTTGCTCTTCCTTACCTCTTGCTTAGTTTCATTTGCTGTTTTTGGTAGATAGCCTTAGAACTTAAGGGGAATTTTATGTAAGTTGAAATTTTCTCTGTGATAATATAAAGGTATATTAAAATCAGTTATATTAAAGTTCAACTTTCAAAGAATCTGAACAGGAAACAATGTAAAAGAGTAGTCTGCACAGACTAGAATATATATGACAAAACAATAAGTTCTTTCCACATAGGCAATGCCTGTTATGTGGACAGAGACAAAAGAAAAGTTACATGCAGAGTTGGGCCATTTGCTAGACTGTGTAAATAGGTCACATGAGTTCCCTTCCCTGGAATTAAAATATTTCTGAAGTGACTTTTCTCCTTTGAATTAAAAACCTTGACCTGAAAGCAGTGGAAAGAGTGTGGGTACTTTCTGCTACAGAAGTTTAGAGTAAGAGAGAGTATGAAGATTCCTAATGTAACTTAAACTTCCCTACCACAGAGCCTTCAGAGACTTCAAAAGCCCTGGCACAAAATTCAGTGATCCTGATCTTCATGAAGTATTTGATGTGCCAGAAGGACATGTTTCCCACAATTTTCCGTTATAGCTTTCCAAGAACGTAAGCTGTTCTTCAGACTGCCATGGTGCCAGTCCATGGACTCAGCTGCCAACTTCTGGGACTTGGGCCTTCCATTTTCTGTGATTCAGGTTGACCACCCCTCTTCTCATCATATGTCTTTCTCCTGGAATAGTTTAAAGCAGCTAATGGGTTTTCAATTCATGAAATTTTGACTGTGCTCCTGTAGTGCCTCTCTCATGCCCATGTACATAATGAACTATCAGTGATTTCTTAATGTTGCAGTCACTCATTTACAAAATTTTCATTTACTCTACAATAGGTTGTCCACATCCATTTTCTCTGTTTTGAGTAGTTGATAAGAATTCTTTTTTCAAGGGGTGATTAACCTTGAGTAAAGGGAGAAGGGGTGAGCAGAAACTCATCAGACCTTATGTCTGAGCATGATTGAAGGAAAAATAGGAATTTTCCAATTCGATGAGGTACAGGACATTCCAAGTGAAAGAATTAAAGGCACAGAAGTGTTGCAGTGTGGTTAGAACGCGTAGTTATATTGTTACAGCATAATGGGCAAACAGGGATGTGACCTTGAAGTAATATGTATGACATGGGCACATATAATATATATAATAGGGAATGAGTCCTGAATGGTTTTAAGTAAGAAAAATGACATAATTAGACTTGTATCTTAGAAAGATCCTTTAGGATGGAGAAAAGGAGGTAAGGTTATAATATTCAAATGGAATAGTTTAGTGAAGTGAGGCTTAAACAGTGGCCATAATGAATCGCTTCTTTGTTACATATTTACCAAGTTATGTGATTCCTCTGCTTAGGAACCTCTTGATGACTTCCCTTCATGTCTAGAATAAACTCCTTACCAGAATTCCTGGGCTGATCTTTGCCTGCTTCCTTAGTCTTGCATCTGGTAGGACTTCCACTCCTTTGCAACCGTTTTGGCTGCTTTGTGTCTCTTAAGCATAAGTGAATATTCCTACCTTGGGGCCTTTACTGTGCTGTTCCTTTTGCTTGCAGCACTTTTCCTCCAGATCTCTACATAGATGCTTCCTTCTCACCAGTCAGGTGTTTGTTCTGTTGTCACCCCAGAGCCTTTCCACAGCTGCCATCACCCAGTTACTCCCTATCACATTAGTCCATTTTGTTTTTTTTTAATAACACTTATCAGCATCTGAAACAATTCATTTCTCCTCTGTCGCTCCCCAGGTAAGTGCTCCAAGGGCAGGATCTTATCTGTCGTGCTTACTGTAAGAGTGCTTGCCACCAGAAGGCACCCAATGTACGGTTGTTACTGGACATTCTTTTTTACTTTTTTTGTACCTCTTTAATTAATTTATCATTGATTTTAAGCTAAAAGAGCATTTTTATTAAGAATATTTTGGTAATATATTTAGTATTCCATTCTTTCTAAATATCAAATTCCCTTTTCTTAAAATTTACAAACTGCTATATATTGTCTTTAAATTTCATTTATTTGTATCTGTAGTTTTTGTTCTGGACTGGTAGCTTCTATTCTGGGAACACCTGCTGATGTCATCAAAAGCCGAATAATGAATCAACCACGAGATAAACAAGGAAGGTAAATAGAAAGTCTTTAGTAGCCATGTGTTTGAATGTCTGTTCTAATTTTATTTTTTTAAGGTGTTTCCCTGTATTTATTCTTGATAGAAATGTGTGTATTTATGTGTTCAACCAGGAAATTGGTTTTATTTTTTTTTCAATTAGCATTTATCAATACTTGAAAAGAGTAAGTGCTCTTTGATGGAAAATAACTGTGCATTTGGGGAAGTAAGCTAATTTAATAATCATATTATTTAGGCATAAGGTATTTATTGTGATTTTATTGTTTTCAAAGAGTTTATGAAAATATACTGTGCTGAGAATTTACAGAGCACTTTCTTCAGAAGCTTGTGACTTACAGGTAACATGGAGAATTTGATTTGATTTAAACAGTATGTTCTGTCTGGAAGATATCAGGTGGAGTGAATTCTAAGTATAAGACCAAGGGTGGGATGAGTCAGAAAAGTCAACCTTGAAAATATCTTTCAACTCAAAGCAAGTGATCTATATATATATATATATATAGAACCACAAATATTATTTGTTCTAAATTAGCAGATAATACTGTAGTAAGTTTTCTTAGAATCTACTTTTCATTATATTTTGCTTATACATCTATTTATATATAAGAAATTTAATAAAATTGTCTTCTTTTCTTTTTAGGGGACTTTTGTATAAATCATCAACTGACTGCTTGATTCAGGCTGTTCAGGGAGAAGGATTCATGAGTTTATACAAAGGCTTTTTACCATCTTGGCTGCGAATGGTAAAGTTAGGTTTTTCCTTCCTTTGTTTTGGTTTCTTTTTAGTTAAATTCTTTTAATCTGTGAATATTTTCCCTTTTCTCTTCTGGTTTTTGGCATGGCTCTACCCACATACCACAGTTGGTTCTCTCTTTTTCCACATCTCTTTTGGTTTTCCTTTACTTCTCCTTGGAGTCCCACTGCCTTTCTTGGCAAATTAAGGTAAAGTAATTCAAGTTGTATCCAGTAATGCATAGGTTGATATTCGATTGTTGGAAAGCCAGCAGATAGATTTGTCTGCAATGCAAAGCCTTTTGTACTCTCTTCAGCCAAAATACCATAGTTTGGAACACATATAAGATTTCATACTAGAGACCATTCCTACGAAAATTACTGTTCTAAATGAAAGTGGTAGCTTTGATGGCAAAGGTAGCATTACCCATTAGTGCTTATTACCAAATAGCTCTGCTCAGAAAGAAAGTATTCTGCCATCTTTATTTAGTTTGCATGTTATTTTTTACTGAAGTAAATTGAGATGTAGAATTAGGTAGACTTACCTAAGTAATGTAACATGTATAATAGAAACAAGGTATTCAAGTATTTTGTAAGTTAGGACATATTTGAAAGAATGAATTGTGGGTTTAGAAACTCAACCAATACTTTATACATATAATATAGTAATATTAATTGAGCACCCACTCCATATAAAGCTCTGTACTCAATGCCTGGCTTTGGGATGAACAGAACAGTCTCAGTCCCTGCTCTGGTGCTAGAGCATCTTGTCTAGGTAAGGACAAACACTGAATAAGAAACTAGAAGTGGTGAATGGTAGGCAAAGTGCATGGTATTATGGAAATATATAGCAAGTAAGTATAACTGAGGCTGGAGATTAAGAAAACTTCCTTGAAGAATGGACTT